TTGCTCCTGCTCCTGCTGCTGCTGCTGCACTCCTTCACTACATTAGGAACCATCTTTGGGCTTTCAATATGGATTGAAGACTATCATTTGTTCAGGAATCTGTCCAGCCTTCAGCACCAGACTGGGACTGTTGAGACATCCAGCTTCATGGAGGCAGTCATTGTTGGAATACCCAGATCATATTGTGTAAGGTAATCTAATAAATCCTTTTAACATATATCCCATCTGTAGGTTTTCTTCCTCTAGAGAACCCTGAGCAATACACTTTGTGATTCTGGTGCCCTTTTCTTTTTTCTTTCTTTCTTTTTTTTTTGGTCTTTTTGAGACAGGGTCTCCCTGTAGCCCCAGCTGTCCTGGAACTTACTATGTAGACCAGGATGGTGAACTCACAGAGATCTGCCTGCCTCTGCCTCCTGAGTGCTGGGATTAAAGGCATGCGCCACCATGCTCACCCTTTTCTATGGAGAAGAAATGTTTTGATTAGTCTGAGTATTCTATTGTGCTGGGCAGTAAATTTTACTGTAAATTCATACTACATTAGCATATGATTTATGTATTTCTCTCTTACCAATTTCATCTACCTCGACTTGATAAATTCTGATTTAACTGATTCTCAAATGCAAAGAGCTAAATCCTGGCAGAAAATGACTCCACAGCATCAGGGTATTCTCATCAGGCATGTTAGTCAGCTTGTTACTGTAACATAATACACGAGACAGTCAACTTAAAAAAGGAAAGAAAAAAATTCATTTTTGCTCAAGGTTTCCAAGGTTTCTGGCCCTGTTGTGTTTGCTCTGTTGCTTTGTGACCTGTGTGGCATGTTTTGAGACAAAGCTGCTTACTTCATGGCTGGGAAGTCAAAAGAGAAGAGAGGCCAAGATCCAAGTATGCCTTCTGTTTTGTTTGGTTTTATTTTTGTTTTTCAGACAGGGTATTCCTGTAGCCCCTGTTGAACTCACTATGTAGACTAGGCTGGCCTTGATCTCACAGAGATCTGCCTGCCTCTGCCTCCCTAGTACTGGGATTAAAGGTGAACAGCACTACATTCAGCCCTGTAGCTCCAATGGTGTCCACTGGGCCTCATTCTCACCTCATTCTCACCTGTGGGACTAAGCCATCAATACATGAGACTTTGGAAAATGTTCCAGATCGAAACTGTAGCACCAGGTGAAACATTGATTGTATAGCAAGCTAATCTCTTTGTTACCTTTGAAATGCAAACAGTGTTTTGAGCGTATGACTTTTGATCTATAACATCCTGAGGTGTTTGAGAGCTGAGATGGGTGCAGGATTTTAGGCACTGAACATTAGAAGAGAGGATAGTGAAATAAGATTCAATCTGTCAGCTGCATGGAGATCATACCCTAAACATTCTTCATTAAAGATAAAATAATTAGAGCCAGGTGGTGACAACCGCCTTTAATCCCAGGAGGGAAAAGCAGGCAGATCTCTGAGTCCAGCCTGGTCTACATAGAGCATTCCAGCCAGCCAGGGTTACAGGGAGATCCTGGCTCAAAACAAAACAACAAAATTAATTAATTAATTAAAAAGAATGAAATAATTAGGCAATCAGGAAGAAATCTTATCATTTGCAAGAGAAATGATAGTGTTCTAAAGTAGAAAGAGAACTGGATAAAATTAACATCAGATGCTAGGCGTGGTGACGCACACCTTTAGTTTAATCCCAGCAGAGGCAGGCAGATCTCTGAGTTTGAGGCCAGCCTGATCTACATAATTCCAGACCAGCTGGGGCTACAGGGAAACCTTGTCTCAAGAAGACAAAAAACAAAACAGTCATGCACATAAAAAAATTAACATCACAATAGCATGATAATTTTTTGGTCCCATTTTTTCTATTTCTGACTACATTTCTTAAATCTATCTGTCTGTCTATCATCTATCTATCTATCTATCTATCTATCTATCTATCTATCTTTTTTTTTTTCATCTTTTTGAGACAGGGTCTCCCTGTAGTCCCAGCTGACCTGAACTCACTATATAGACCAGGCTGGCCTTGAACTCACAAGATCTGCCTCCCAAGTGCTGGGACGAAAGGCATGTGCCACCACGCTTGGCCAAATCTATTTTTTTAAAAGTAAAGAACTAGCATTCTTTACTTTCTTTGACATAGTTATAAAATTTTAAGTAATATTTAATAGAGGGCTAGGAATGTTCAGCAGTTTGTAGAGTACTTGCCTACCATGCACAAAGCCCTTGGTTCAATCCCCAGCACTACATTAACAAGGCATGGTGCTGAATGTATGTAATCCCAGCATTTAGGAGGTACAGGCAGGAGGATCTGAACTTTAAGCTAGTAGTGAGTTTGAGGTCAGCCAAGAATCATAAGACATTGTGTAAAAAAAAAGATTTCATGTTCATCTTGAAGATATTTAATTTCATTTCATCTATATTTAAACCAATGATCTTTACATCTAATTTCTAATAATTGCCATGCAGTTAAAAAGGAGTACATTTGCCCAATTGTATTTCCCAGTTTTTGATTACAAGGAAAATCAATATATATAATTCAATTTATTAGCTTATCTTATTTTTTTGAGACAGGGTCTTCCTGTAGCCCCAGCTGTCCTGGAACTCACTATGTAGACCAGGCTGGTCTTGAACTTGCAGAGTTGTACCTGCCTCTGCTTTCTTTCTAAGTGCTGGGATTAGAGTCGTGTACCACCACACCTGGCACAATCCTTTTAAGAAAGCAGATGTAACAGCTGAAATTACACATATGCCCTCTTTCCTTTGATAGATGTGAAGCAAATATTACAGAATATTTGGAACTTTTCAATGGAAGAAATTAACAACAAAGGCATTTCTTTTCTAGAGTTATGGGTGGTTGTGAGTCATACAACATGGGTGGGAACTGAACTCAGGTCTTCTGGAAGAGCAGCACTGAGCCATCTCTCCAGCTCCCTATTTTGCAATCTTATTCAAGCTTTCTGATTCCCATTCTGGAAGAGCAGCACTGAGCCATCTCTCCAGCTCCCTATTTTGCAATCTTATTCAAGCTTTTTTTTTTTTTTTTTTTTTTTTTTTTTTTTTTTTTGGCTACAAAGAGTTTCATCAATTCTTATTACTCCTAATATAATTACATCTAATATCATTTCTGTAATATTACAGTTTATCATCAAGCTATATTTCAGATCTTTCATAGTGCACATTTATACTGTAAGTCTAATATTAGAATTTACAGTTCTAATGGAGTCTGCAAGTAAATTGATCTAAAGTGCATTGGTTCAACTGGCTGAAATACACACACACTTATATTTGGATTATTTACCTGATCGTGTAATGAAGGCAAGTTTGCATTTTGAAACAGACCAAAGAGCTGTGAGACTTGGAGAAAATGATCTAATCTCTTTGACTCCTTAGGTTGTAATGAAATTGAACAAGTTAGAATGATGCCTGGTACACAGTAAACACTCAAATGTTAGAGGTTACTAGCTAGTGAAGCAATCAGTCTAAGTGGTAAAATATCTCGTATTTGGAATCTGTGTTGCTACTGAGGGCACCTTCCTACGAAAGACACTTTATTTCTTGCCAAATGAATACAAAAAACAATTACGGTGTATTCCTCTGAACGCCAATAATATCTTGGGCTTGGAGGAGCACAGTTCACGATAGCTGTTCAACTAACGAAAACAAAAAGATTTTCATGAGAAAGTGTTTCAGAGAAACCAAAGAATTTAATAGGCTAGGACTAATAGATTTTTAGGGAACATTTGGTTCATCTTAAACAGGTTAGGTACTTGTTGGCTCACTTCAAAAGCAAAGAAAATAAGTCTAATCAGTGTTCCACTTCTCTCACAATCCTAGGGTTGAATGCTTGTTAAAAGGGAAGGTTTAGAGGAGTCTCTGGGGACTGTATTGATTGTGTGAAGAGTTAAGCAGCATCTCAGATGTTTTCTTATGTGACTCCAATCTGGCCAACCCAGGCACATTCAGTAAGCAGCACGTGTCCTCAGAGTCCAAGTAGCACAAACCCAGGGCATCTTTTAGCGTTGACTTGTCTTGGTAATTGAGATACGACACCTAATGCTTTCTTTGCCTGGCCCCCAGGCATCTAGCGACGGTCTCTAACACCCTACAACATTTGCCATTCCTCCACAGTTAGGACTGTAGTGTTTCGCGTTCTTCAACAGTAGGAAAAGAAACGAGAATTCAGGTTAGCTAATGATGGCAGAAACCAAAGATGGGCCTGTTCCACCTTAAAGGGCCGAGGCATGCCTAGTGCTTGGGTTTTGCAGAGTTTGGTCGCCACCATATTTGGAGCGTGCCTACTTTGGGGCGGGAACCTCCTTGGGAGTGATTAGGTCACCGCTGGGGGAGGTGACCTTGTTTGGTTTCTGGCACCCGAGAACACTTGGTGCACTGTTTCTGCCGCCCCCCGTTGGTCTAATTGGCCCAGACTCTCCAGTGGCCCAGCTGCCCGGGAGCTCCTCGCCGGCCACCCCGGGCGGCCCGCGGCCAGGCAGAGGCGGGAAAGCCGCGCGCCTGCGCCGTGGGAACCGGGGCCGGAGGCGAAAAGCGGGGAGCGGAGGGGGGCAGTGGAGCCGAGTAGCGTACAGAGCGGCGTGTGACGCGGGGACGCCGCGCGCTCCCAACGTCGCCCCGGTTTGACGCACACGGCACCAAACTGTGAGTTTCAGGGGTTTTATTTGGTCGGATTAGCGGAGGCCCCGAATGGGTTTCGGGCGTCCCGGCTGTGGCGGCGGCGGGACTAAGGGTGGAGGAAGAAGTTGTGGGGGGACCCGGCCCGCGGTGCTCCGGCCCGGGGAGCTACGCCCTAGGCTGGCTCCCAACCATCCTAAAGGACGCGTTTTGCCGCACAGGCTAAGATGGCGGCGGCGGCCGAGGAGGCGGAGTTGCTGCTGCACAAGGAGCCCAGGCCGCGGGGTCGGGGAGGTGGCGGCCGCGGGGGGCCGCGGAACCTTAGGTGAGCGGCGGCGGCCGCCGCGGGGCGGGACTCGGGGACGGGCGGGGGGCCTTTCCGCCTGGGCGTCGGAGGATCCGGTGGCGGACACAAAGGGGCTGAGCCGGGCTCTAGACTTGGGGGGTTTTGTTTAGTCACATGCAGCGGAGCAGCCAGTGAGCGGTAGGGGGAAGGGGGTCGCGAGTAGGCGGCCGGGGGAGCCGGGCGGTCGCCATTGTAATGCCCTGGGCTAACGGGGCGGGCCGAGAGCAGTTAGCCCGCGGCGTTGTGTGGAGGCTGCTGCGTCCCGGCCTGGAGCGCCGGCTGGGCGCTAACTGTCCACACCCCTCCCCTGACTTGGGGACTGGACCACATAGCTCTCCCCTCTTCCCCACTGGTCTGCAACATCTTGTGCGGCTAGGTGCCTGGGAAGTAACTGCAAGAGGTAAAAGAAAAAAAAAAGGAGAGAAAAAAAAAAAAAAACAACCTAAAAAGATAAAATAAATCGAAGTGTTTGGGTGGCCAGGGACTTGGTGGGTGTCCAGCTAAAGCTTTTTGCCTCTCCAGGTCTGATTCCCTGGCCTTTGTGTCCCTGGGAGCTTAATCTCTGCCAGAGGAAAGCAGGTGTGCTCCACTTCTCCCGAGAACCTGAAGATGAGTTGTCCCAGACCCTTCCCCGTGATTGGAAACTTAGGTGGTGGAGCTAAAGGTTTCTTGTTGCGAGACTTCCACAGACGACTCTCGTGTTGGGATCCATCCATGGTTTAGCGACATTAGTGAAAAAGTTTTTTCTTCAACTGTTTAAGTGATACTGACTTAAATAGAGTTGTTCTAAAACTTTTGTATTTAGACTTCAGATTTTGCGTGATCATTAAACTCAACGAGGGGATACCCACAGCTGGGGGTCTGAAATGATGGGCCTGTTTTGTGTACGTGTTAATTTCCGCAGAAATCCCCAAACATCATCGTTCTGACCAGGCCTGATGGATGCCAAGCATACTGCTGCATCTGGGGGTTGTATTAACTTTGCCTTAATCGTGTATTCCCTCTCTGCAGTAGTTTAGTTAACGTTGTTTGGTCCCACAAGAAGGAAAGCATTTCAAAAATTAGACAACTAAAGTTCCCCAAAGAAAGGAAACCTGCTCTTTGCCTTCAGTGCCATGTGTAAGTACCTAGGAAACTTGATGTTAGCAATATTGGTTTTGGGTAGGCTTGGTAAGAAAACCAACTTAGTTTTCATAATGAGGTTATAATTTAGCTTGGGCATTTAAATTGGTGAAGCCTGAATGCTTGATTAGTACCAATGCAGTAGTGTGCATGTTGTAGAGCATTAAACACTTTTACCACACTCATAATATTGGAAATAGCAGGGAGAGATGGTTTCAGAACAGTTCATGTTTTGTATTAGCCATTGAAAGATACTCGAACACATTTAGGTTTACTCATTTAGATTTCTGTGTTCAACATGATATTTGAACTTTGCAACCTTACTTAAAACTTAATTTTTCTTGTTTCTTTCAGGTCTATTATACCCCCTCCCCACTCTCCGTCCCTCCTCCCCTTTTAAGCTTTCTTTCGACTAGAAAACAATTTTATATTAGCAAACAGAAGCTATGTTGACAGTGAAATGTATTTCTGAATCATAGTGTTTTTCAATTGTAGATCTCTGAAAGAACCACTATTCTTACCCACTGCCTTAATATGAGGAAGTCAGTGGTACAATGGAAGATTGTCTTTCAGCTCCTATCTCATTCCTGGTTTTGTCATATTGTGCTGGGATGAGAAAAGTGAAAATTAGCAACTAATAATGGTTTAAAAAATAAAGGGCTTGTTATTGAGGATTCCTGTTAATTAGCGTCATTAATGAGAACTTTATGACAATAAATTTAATGTGATGTAATCTCTGATCATGCTGCTTATGTATGACTTTTGAGATTTTCCAAAAGCAGATTTGCCTCGGAAATTTAAATTAAAACCAAAAAGTGCATGCTAATCTGTTTGGAAAGTTAAAGGTAACTGCCAGTATTGCTAGAACTTGCTAAGAAATGAAATAGATGCTGAAGATGGAACTGGCTCTGAGGTCTTTCATATTGTAATGGTATTTGGATAAATATACCACTCAGACTACTTTTTAAAATGACGTTTTAGGTCAAACTACAAGTCTTTTAGGAAATGCAACAAGTAGTAAAATCATCTATAGTGGGATCTCACAGGGATATTGAACTTTTGGATGTCAACTTGATAAAAACAGCTGAAGTTGTTAAAAGGCTCCTCTGGGCCATTTAAAGTGTTTTAGAATGACTGATTTTTCTGATGGGGTTGATAGGCTATTTCATAATTTTCAACACTATGTGAGTAGATTTAATTATACTTAGTCTTTGTGATAATTAGGGTTACTTTGAGGTTATTTGTAATTACCGTCACCTGCAAGCCTTAAACGCTTTCCAGGTTTAGCTTGTCATTCAAGTTATAGGAGGGAATGTTTGGGTTAAATTGAGATTCTATGATGGATAGCAGAAGGGGAACAGAAAAACTCAAAGCGAGTTACAAAATGGTTCCAAGGACAGTGTTAGTTGTTTAGGAGTAGTTATTTGGACTCTTCTTACCTTGTGACTCTGAGAGAAATGGATGTTATTTGTGTAAGAGTATGTTCTCAGGACTGTTTTCAGTCAGACAGTGAGGACTTAGCTTGTAGCAAATTTGACTTGTTGAATTTTTATGCTAAAATTATAGAACACAAGTTTTTAGCAGTCGTTTTTAAAAAGTTTTTAAAAAATGGTGGCATTGTAAAATAGAACATGGAAGTGAATGGTAGATTTTGTAATTTGGCTACTCTTGAGGTCTTCATGTCGTACATGTTTAATCTAGTATATGGATATGTTTTTGTACATGGAGAATCTTAAACAATTGAGGTGTGACTTTGAAGTAGTCCTAAAAGTGGTGCTTGTGTATTGGAAGGAAATAATTGCTTTTAGTAGTTCAAGCCATTTATACCATTGAATTTTTAGGGATTTGAAAATCAAGCTGATTCTAGCACTAGCTCACCCTGCTGGTTGATTAAAGCATTTCCCTTCTGATTAAACAAGGACCACATGAGGTCTGGAGGGTAATAGAACACCAGATTCAGTTCAGTCTTACGTTGGGGAAACAACAGTCCACGTGAAAAGGGTATTTCCTCATCTTTTAAGGTCTCAGTTTCTCTACAGTTTTTTTTTTTTCTCAGATCTGCCAAAGTTGATCTGTGTAGTTGCTTCTTTTTGAAGTTAATTAGGAGCTCTTAGGAGATTATGGAATTGGTATGGCCTTATATTTTGAATTTAAGGTATAGATCACTTCACATTAAGTGAGTTGGTGGCCCATACTTGTAATTGCATCTCTCCTTTGAAAGATTGAGTTTGAGGCCTACCCAGGCCACATTGTGCTGGCTCACCCCCCCATCTCACAGTTGTGAGAAATATAGGGAAGAAAAACAGACAACCCTGTGAGGTAACTGTCTAGCTTTCCAGGAGGAGAAAGCAGAGGTTTCAAGAGGAAAATGATAGCAGGCTTATCTTGGGGTTGAGGGAGGGCGACTGGGTTAAGTCTGGCTTTTCTTAGGCGATTTCTTCCTGCGTTCCCTCAGCTAATCTTTGATCTACCTCCTCTGTCTGCAATAATAGCCTTCCCATGTCATTTAGGTTCTTGGATCTGTTATTTTGTCGGTAAAGGTATAGATAAATGATTTGTTGTATGAATTTAATTCTGTTAATCTAGATTATGGTAGAATTGAAGTTGGTTAGGGTGATACATGTAGATTTTATGTGTTTTAAGTCTTTTTTCAGCAGCTATGCCATTTATTAAAGACCTTAGGTGGATAGATACTGAGGGACAAACCCAGAACCTAGAGTATGCTAAGCACTGTTCTACCACTGAACTACATCACAGCCCTGTAAAGACTTGTACAAATTGTAGAAATGTAAATAAATGTGTTAAGGGTCAAAGAGAAAATTGGGGAGAAAAAGACCTATAATAAAGTCTTGGGATTAAAGTATGGTTTACAAAGCATGTGAATTGCCAGGCAATTCCAGGCCAGTTGGGGCAACAAGGAGACCCTGTCTCAAAAAGATCCCCCCCCCCCAAAAAAAAAGAAACCAGAAGCATGCTTACCTATATTGTATCAATTATGTTTTGTTTTATTTATTTATTTTTTTGGTCTTTTCTAGATAGGGTCTGCCTGTAGCCCCAGCTGTTCTGGATTACTATGTAGACTAGGCTGGCCTCGAGCTCACAGAAATCCGCCTGCCTCTGCCTCCCGAGTGCTGGGATTAAAGGCATACACCACCACATGTTTTTTTTAAAGGTTACTGTTTTAAATCCTTTGCCATGATGTTCTGTTTACAATCTTTATGTGCATATACACATTTTAAACATTAGATAATATTGGTACTTTCAGACCATTTATTCTAAAAGAGAGTGATGCCCAGTTTGTTGGTGAATGGCCTATGAAGATAGATTAAAAACCTTTGCCAGAGTTGGAACTGATTGCCTTGGCTACTACTGACTCACTGGGTACAAAGTATGTATATAAGCATACATGTAAAATCATAGTTGGATTTATAACTCGGCATATAAAGAGGCATGAAGGGATAAAGTTTAAAAGAGGAACCATTAAGGTAAAGCTGGCAGTGTTCAAATTTAGTAGTGTGAACACTAGGTAAGTAGATTTAACATTAATACCATCTTGGCAGTCTAGAATTCACACATAAAGTAAGGTTTCTGACCCTCAATGCTGAGTTAGTGTTACCTGTTAAAATAGTAAATTATTATTGTCATTGTTTATTCTTATGATAGTAACTCAAGATTTTTACCTGTGGTGATTTGGAGTTGTATGCTTTGTTAGTGTTCTATTCGTAGGCCCTGTCTATTAAAATTATATTAAAATGTATCTTTTGATTATAAAACAGGGCCGGGCGTGGTGGTGCACACCTTTAATCCCAGCACTAGGGAGGCAGAGGCAGCCTGGTCTAGTGAGTTCCAGGACAGCTGGGACTACAGGGAGACCCTGTTTCAAAAAAACAAAACAAAACCAAAAAACAACAAAAATCATAACTATATTAAAATTTTCAGTGTATCCACTTGATGGTATACTTGGGAATGAGTTTTGTTTACAACATGCAGAATTTCATTACTGCCATTTAATGTTGTCTATGAGGATGGCATATGTGTTTGAATGTAACATACATAAGAATGTAATATGCATATGAACTCTAGGTACAGTGAGGAGGGTGGGGTTAAGGAGATGGTTCACTTGGTAAAGTGCCTTGCATGAAAGCATGAGGACTCTTAGATGCCCAGTACCCATTGTAAAAAGTCACCTGAGGCATATGCCTGTAACCAGTCCCAACACTGGGCGGATAGAGACCGGAGGATTCCTTAAGCTCATTGCCTAGCCACCCTAGCCAAATCCATTTGCACTTCAGGTTTAGTGAGCAGCCTTGTAAAAATGAAGGTAGAGCTGTTGAATCTCAGCACTTGGGAGGCAGAGGCCGGCCTGATCTACCTAGTGAGTTCTAGGCCAGCTGGGGCTACAGGGAGACCCTGTTTCAAAAAACAAAAACAAACAAACAAACAAAAAAAAGGGTAGAGAACTGATGCCAACCTCTGACCCTGATGTATGTATACCTGTGAACCCCTCCTTTGAAAAAACAGGAGAAAGGAAATAAGGAAATGGGATCTTTTCATTGGACAGTCTTGAGTCTGGGTATTTTAGTTTCCCCAGATAGAGCATTTCCTGATCCTGCTTTCCTCTTTGCTCATATGCAGGTTCACATTCTAGGATAGTGTTAGTCTTTTTTGTGTTTCTTTTTTTGACACAGGGCCTTGTTATGTAGCCCTGGTTAGCATGGAACTTGCTGTGTACTCATGGCTGGCCTTGAACTCAGAGATCCACCTACCTCTGTTTCCTGGGTACTCAGATTAAGGATATGTGCCCCCATGCCCAGCTAAGTATTATCTTTTCTCTTTATTTTTCTCTCTTTTCCCCTATCATAAACACAAAACTTTCAGCTTCTAAAGAAAATTGTAAAAGCTAATAAAATAATTTTAAGTTTACATAAATAGGTATGTATTAAAAATTTCTAGCAATTTGAAAAATAAGGGAAAACTCACTTATGATCTTTTGAGAT